GCACGTTGGGTCAGGTTTATCTAAGGTCCTTCAGCCAAGATCTGTTCATTTTGTTTGATTGAGAGCTGTTCGTGACTCATTAGCTCAATTCCAAGATTAGCAACGGAGTAGGATCTGTCTCGACCATGCACCATCTTTACAAAAGGATTGTACTAAGAGGGAAGACCTTCAAGGATAGTCTCTGTGTGTTCTTCTATTGTTATAGGACTTCCAATCGATTTCAACGAATCACATATTGTTTTGATTATGGCTAGATATTCTTTTGCACTTTTTGTTCCTTTCTTCATCGTCTTTAACTCAGATCTGAGTTGTCGAGCTTGAGATTTCATAACACCGTGAAAGAGTTTGTGAATATTCTCCCAAGCTTCAAACGAGTGTTTAATTGGAAGGATATCATTAACAACTTGCTCTGAGATGGTGGACAACAACCATGTTAGCGACATCTGATCTTGCGTTAGCCATTCTGTATAAGCTACGCTCAACACATCGTTTTCGCGATCTTCATCTGAATCGAATTTCAAAGGAATTTTTGGATTCACAAGACAACGTTGAAGCGGATGATCAGAGGTTATGATTGGTTCGATAATCTGATTCCAGTAGAAGTAGTTATCTTTTGTTAGTTTTGCAAAGATTTGAAAGTTGAAAAGTGACGAAGGGTTCTTTGGCTCCATGGAGGTTGATTTGCTTTGCTGAGCTGCACTAGAGTCGGAATTGGATGCGGAAGACATGGTTAGGAGGTATTGTATGTGTTAGAGAATAATATAAACTATTATTGTAGCCTCACCCACCAGCTTAAGCTTTTGGGTTGAATTGGTACTTTACATGGTATCAGAGCCTCGGAGTCAAGGGTTCGATCCTCACCGCCCCCCATTTAATAATAAATAACTAATTCTTGTGGAGTTTCTTAGTACAGGTAGGTGGGCCCGTGCATTATCCAACCTTCAAGCGCAGTGGGCTCTCGTGTGAGGGGGCGTGTTAGGGATATATATAAAACCATTAATGTAGTCTCATCCACCAGCTTAAGCTTTTGGGTTGAATTAGTACTTTACAATTTAAAGAACCACTTCAACCCAAAACCTTAAGGTATTGGGTTCATGGATCCTCCCACTTATATGCACTTAACTTATCCCATTACCAACCAATATGAGACTTATCACACTTGAATATTCCAGCAATCTCCCCCTCAAGTGTGAAACCCATCATTGGTTTGCTCCACCCTCAACCGAGTACCCAGGCCCAAAATATTCAACCCCGCCTCCTAGCCAAACATCTGGCTAGCTCGAGCTCAACCCGACTCTAATACCATGTAAAGAACTAATTCAACCCAAAAGATCATTTAATGTAGTGGAAATAACTGAATTTTGAGTTGTTCGATCAAGTAAGGGAAAGTCAATGGAATTCATATCTGTCTCAATGTTTTTTTTTAATTGTCTAAATATTCAAAAATTAAGACCACTCTAATGCCCCCTTTCGCCATGCATAAACTGAACCAACAATTAGAATAAGCACGAAGATGAAAGCTTCTATAAATACGGATACCCCCAAGACATCAAAACTAATTGCCCATGGATAAAGAAAAATCGTTTCAACATCAAAAACAACAAAAACTAGAGCAAACATATAATAACGGATTTGAAATTGTAACCAAGCATCACCCATTGGTTCTATTCCCGATTCATAACTAGAAAGTTTCTTCGGCCCTTTCCTAATCGGGGCTACAATTCCAGAAATTAGAAATGCCAAAATAGGAATAAAACTAGCTTTTGGGTTGAATTAGTTCTTTACATAGTATCAGAGTCTCATGTCCTGGGTTTGATCCTCATCGCCCTCCGCTTTTTCTTGTGGAATTTCTTAGCATAGGTAGGGGGCTTGTGCATATTATCCATCCTTCATGCCCAGTGAGCTCTCGTGTAAGGGGGTGTGTTAGAGAATAATATAAACCATTAAAAAGACCCTCATCCAAGAGCTTAATCTGTTGGTTGAAATGATTTTTTACATGGTATTAGAGCCTCGTGTCCCAGGGGATCCTCACCGCCTCCCACTTTCTCTTGTGGAATTTATTAGCACAGGTAGGTGGGCTTGTGCGTATTATCCGCCCTTCATGCCCAGTGGGCTCTAGTATGAGGGGGTGTTTTAGAGAATAATATAAACCATTAAAAGGCCTTCACCCAATAGTTTAAGCTTTTGGGTTGAATTGATTCTTTACAGTATGGATCAGGCTCTGTTAGAGGGCTCTAATACCATATTAGAATTTCTCCATTGAAGTAAAGCCTGAGAAAGTGAGAGAAAATGTTGAGAGAAAAGAAACTGAACAAGAATCATTTCTTTTATTGAATCTGAAGAAAATGATTTGGTTTACAGAGAGAAAAGGGCGATCTCTATATATATAGCTGAGGCTGACGATGAGTCAGCATGCTAACTAACTATACAACTGAAAGAAAGCTACGCTAATAAGTTGTGTCAGTTAGCTAAACACCATAGAATTCCTTACCCTTTACGTGTCAATAAGCATTGAGAAATTGCCTAACAATAGCCTAAATACAAACCCCTTGCAAGCCAAACCATTCTAAAAGCAATCAAACAGAAGCATGCAGTAAAACAGGGCCAAGTGGTAGCAAGGCGACGTCAAACCCAGAAGAAACAATGAAAACCTCAAAATGGAAACCAAGATGGAGCACCTAGTAGATTGGCACCGTAACACATCAAATCCTCAGCTCAAAGAAGTTAACACTAGATTATTGGTGTTAAGAGAATGGAATGATGGTGGGGTCGATTAGAGTTGTGGAACCCATTCATGATAAGGAATCTAACATGGACAAATGTGGGAGTAGAAAGTGATGTGGGTGGAACATAATCTTGGGTTTAAGTGGTTGGAATTTTTGCATAGGCAATACGAAGGCAAAGACAATAACTGAAAATTAAGGTGAAATGAAAACAGAGCATAACAGACAAATACTGGGAAAGAGCTTGTCACATAACCAATTCTCCCAAAAGTTTAAGTTGTTGGGTAAAGGCACATGAATATTTTATTATCTTTTAGAGTAAATACCCTTTTTGGTCCTCAGCAAATTTCACGATGCCCTATTTAGTCCCAATGAAAAAAAAGGGCATTCGTGGTCCTTGGTTTTTTCAAGTTAGGCCCACGTTAGTCCTTCTGTTAGTGGGGCTCCAACGTCGTTATTAACGGATCTCACGTGTAACATTAAGTTGTTGAGTCACAAGATCACAATCCACCTTGGACAAAGAACGACGTCGTTGAGTGTTTATCCACGTATTTTTATCCAGGCCAGATGATTCTCCTCTAAGTCAAGGAGGCCCTGACACTCATGGTGGTTATTGCTGAAATTTATTTGTTGCGGTTTTGTGACCCTTGATGCAATGATATTCGGTGTATGCACATTCTTGGTGTAGGTCGACGTGGATCATGAGATCGAAAATACCCTTTTAGCCTTTTTAGGTTTTGAACTGGGGTTTGATTTCTCGTTGTTTGACGCTCAAATCAGAATGCATTTCGTGGATGTGAAATTTGGTGCTATGGATTATGATTTACAAATAATTAAATGTGGGATGGACCCCGTTTGAGTTTCTGGTGCTGCATTTAGGTGGCCATTTTTTTGGTCTTTCCTTTGGAGATTTCTATTTTTGTGATGCCTGAGAATGGAATGACGAATTAGATTACTGTGGGTTGTCAATCTATTCTTGTTATCTTGTTGGTCTGTTCAAGACATAGCCTTGTGTATCTATGATAAGAATGTAAGATTTATGGTTAACTACTATAAGCTTTGTCCTGGCTAGCATTATTGACTTGTATATGATTTTGGAAAAGCATTTTTTTCTTAGTGCATTTGAATTTGAGGATTGGTTTTCCAAGGAACTTTCTTGATTTGCAGAGTCTGAGCTCTGCAAATTTGCCCCTCAAAAGTTGAACTACGACTGTTTGTTTGGAAACAAAAATGGGTCACCATTTTGTTTCTTTCTTCATGTGCATCTTTGTTGTTAATGAGGGGCTTTGAATAAATATATCTCTTGGGGGATTGCATTATTTGGTTTCTTATAGCTAGACATTCTTATGTGTCTATGTTTTTGGTTTTTGGTTTCATTCTTTATGGATATTTTTTCCATTGTAACATTCAGTGGTTGTTTCCACTGTGAGTGTATCATGATGGACAGGTGAGCCCCAACACCCATGCATACACCACATGGACAGGCTGTTCCCGAGTGATCTATTTTTGTTCTTAAAACTTGTGAAACTCAAGAATATGATGTAATCTGCCTTTATACTAAAACACTTGGAATAGCTTGGCATGACAACAAGATGTCAGGATGCTATTTAGCAGGCAGAAATAGGACCAAACTAGTATACACTAGACCAAAGTGAATTATTGCAAGCTTAATCCCATCCTCTCCCTTTCTTTTCTTGCCATGGGACAAAATAGTAAAAGAAAGCAGGTAAAAAAGGATAGAGTGCTTATGTTGTTGGAATTTTTTTTTTTTTGACTGACAAGCAGTTACATTATAAACATATTTTGTTTCCTATCATAGAAGTAGTGGGTAATTTCTAGATAAGAGGTTGAAAATATTTGATATACAGGTTGAAATCTATTTGGCATCTGTATTAGATATTTAACAATCTTATTTTGTGTATTTTTTGTTGGCTAATATACGGCAGTCTTTGAGTGATAAACAAGTTGCTAGGTTGAGAGAGGAGATCACAAATTCAGTGGGCATAAGAAAGCTTGTTTCAGTTTCAGATGATGATTTTTTCATTGAACGTTTGATCTGTATGGAGATACTTGAGAATATGGCAGATGTGGCTGGGTCTGTGGCTAGGCTTGGGAAGAAATGTAGTGATCCAATTTTGAAAGGTTTTGAATGCCTTTTATGAGTTCATCACTATGGATGTGAATCCATATGGGTGGGAATTCACTTGCAAGAAGATGAAAAAAAAGATCGAAAGGATGGAAAAGTTCATATCAACTAATGCAAGTTTGTAACAAGAGATGGAAGTGTTTGCTGTTCTTGAGCAAACTCTTACAAGAATGAAAGCTAGTGGTGAGTCTGATGTTGTAACTTTAATTGAGTTTCAAAAGAAGATTGGATGGAAGAGGTAGGAGGTGAAGAACTTACAGGATATTTCTCTGTGGAACAGGACATGTGATTATGCCATCAACATGGGGGGAGACCATCACGATGTTGATGGCGATGGGAAATTTCAGTATATTATCTCCATTTTTTGCAGAAACGAACGTAAAATGGTTTTGGGAAATTTTGTTAGGGTTCTCTATTTTCCTTTCTTGCAACGTCTTTGTTAGAAATAATATTAATTTATTATTATTAGAATAGTCTAGAATAGTCTAGATTGTGGGCTTGGCCCATTAGGTCATCCCATTAGGTCTTTTAGTCTCTATAAATAGAGAGCCTCCTTGTACAGACTTACACACTTGAATATACAATATATTTCAGATTCAATTTGGTATCAGAGCTCTCGATCTGAGGGCTCTGCTTCCGCATATATATCTTTTCCTTTCTTTTTACTGTCGTGCATCATACCGGCAACCATCCTTTCACACCTAACCCTTATTTAGTCACAAATTTTTTGTCCTCAACCTCGTATCATCAGGAAAAAGATCGTCAGCCTCCGTTCATCGCCGGAAACCGCCACAAAACCACCGTCCGCCACTGTTCACCGCCGTCAGACTGCTTTTCCGGCGACTTTTCCGACCAACCACCACGCGATCAGGAGCGGCTCAGGGAGGCGACCCTGTCTGTCCAAGTCGCGTGTTGATCGGAGCATCCACGCGCCGATGGAAGTCTCCAGCGGCCGAACCACTGTTCCGGCGCGTGAGCCACCGTCCGGCCACCGTTCCAGGCCGGACCACCACCATCTTGCTCGCCTCCTCACCCTCTTTCCAGATCTGGTCTCCGTTCGTTGTGGGTCCCATCCGTTTGAAAGATATCAGTGAAAAACCCGCTGTTTGGACACTTTTGTGCAACGTTTTTGCGCGATTTCTTGCTTTCTTGTAGTTCTTTGCTATTTTCTGGTCATCTCCTTTTATTTTGTGATGGAGGGCTCAAATAATGCGTCCAAAAACACGACTGGAATCATCTCCGGAACAGTGTACGCGGTCGCAGACGTGGCCGCAGACAGAGGCCTCGTTGCAATTATTGCCAGAATCTTGGGCATTTTGAAGAACGCTGCTATAGGAAGTACCCTCATTTGAAGCCACCGACTGCCAACTTTGCTCAAACTGATGTTACGCCACCTTCAATTGGATTAGTAACTCTTTCAAGTGCCGACTATGAGGCACTTCTCAAGAAGGTTTCTTCTCAGCATCCTACTCAAGACACTGGTAATCATGTTGCTTGTTTTTATCAATCATCTCTTGGACCCTGGATAATAGACTCAGGTGCTACTCATCATCTTTGTGGTAATAAAGATCTCTTCACTTCACTTTCTTATTCTAATAACCTACCCCCTGTCACTCTTGCTGATGGCACTAAGGCTCCTGCTCGTGGAATTGGGGAAGCTAACCCAACTCCCCTTTTAACTTTGAGTTCTGTTTATTATATACCTGGCATTCCTTTTAATTTAATCTCTGTTAGCCAGTTGATTCATTCTCTTTCATGTACTATTACCTTCTCTAAACAATCCTTTTCTATGCAGGATTCGGGTACGGGGAAGACGATTGGAGCAGGCGTTGAGTCACGAGGTCTCTACTATCTGATTGCACCACCTTCTCCAGTAGCCTGTTCTCTCACAGGGTCTCCTGAGCTAATTCACAGCCGTCTGGGTCATCCAAACCTCTCCAAGCTTCAGCATATGGTTCCCTTTTTATCCAATCTTAAGTCTTTAAACTGTCATTCTTGTCAGCAAGGAAAACACACTCGCTCCTCCTTTGCTAATAGAGTCAATAAAACAGCTGATGCTCCTTTTTCTATTGTTCATTCTGATATTTGGGGTCCGAGTCGAACAACGTCTGTCTTGGGTTTTCAGTATTTTGTCACCTTTATTGATGATTTCTCCCGTTGCACTTGGGTTTATTTAATGAAAAATCGTTCTGAGTTATTTTCAATTTATCAAAAGTTTGTGCAGAAATAAAAACTCAATTTGGTGCTTCTATTCAAATCTTGCGCAGTGATAATGCAAAAGAGTATGTGTCTCTTGAATTTTCTAAATTTCTGGATACACAAGGGACGATACACCAGACTACCTGTCCCCACACTCCACAACAAAATGGAGTCGCTGAACGTAAAAATAGACATCTAGTTGAAACTGCACGTACCCTTCTCATTCATATGAACGTCCCACTCCGTTTTTGGGCAGATGCTATTATCACCTCATGTTTCCTTATCAACCGCATGCCCTCTTCTGTGCTAAATAATGATGTTCCCCACAGTATTTTGTTTTCCGGAGCACCTTCTTATCCTCTGCCTTTACATATTTTTGGCTGTACTTGTTTTGTTCATGATCTTACTCCAGGTAAAGACAAGTTGACATCCAAGGCCTTCAAATGTATTTTCCTTGGGTATACACGTTTTCAAAAAGGGTATCGTTGCTATTCTCCTGATCTCAAGCGTTATATCGTTTCTGCTGATGTCACTTTCCTTGATCAGCAGCCTTTTCACTCTACTCCGTCTCCAGTGTCCCAAGTTGATCAGGTCCTTCCTGTTCCTTTTCTTGACTTGTCTTTACCAGCTGCAGGTGACCCTATTCCAGAGGAGCAACCAATTACCTCCATACCTGCAGATCGTCCTCTCCTCACATACCAGCGTCGTCAGCCTGCACCTCCTCCGACTTTGCCTCTTGATGACTCATCGCCCTTTCCCGTCGGCTCTTCTCCTCCGGATCCTCCATCAGAGACTCCTCCCATTGCCCTTCGGAAAGGTATTCGATCCACTCGAAATCCTCATCCCCTTTATTCTTTCTTGAGTTATGACAGACTTTCTTCACAATATTTTACTTTTGTTTCTAGTCTCTCTTCTGTTTCCATCCCTAAAACCACAGGTGAAGCACTATCTCATCCAGGGTGGCGCCAGGCGATGCTTGATGAAATGCAGGCACTTCACTCCAATGGCACTTGGGATCTTGTTTGTGCTCCTCCCGGGAAGTCTGTTGTTGGTTGTCGATGGGTGTTCACAGTTAAAGTTGGTCCTGATGGCACTGTTGATCGCCTTAAAGCTCGCTTAGTGGCCAAGGGATACACACAGATCTTTGGTCTTGATTATGGGGATACCTTTTCTCCTGTTGCTAAGATGGCTTCTGTTCGCCTGTTTCTTGCCCTTGCCGCCGTTCATCACTGGCCCCTTCTCCAACTTGATATTAAGAATGCTTTTCTACATGGTGACTTCCAGGAGGAAGTTTATATGGAGCAACCACCAGGTTTTGTTGCTCAGGGGGAGAGTTCTGGAATGATATGTAAACTTCGGAAATCTTTATATGGCCTGAAGCAATCTCCTCGAGCCTGGTTTAGCCGCTTTAGTTCAGTTGTTGAATCCTTTGGCTTAATCAGAAGCAAAGCCGATCATTCTGTCTTTTACCGGCATAGCTCTTCTGGCCAGTGCGTTTATCTCCTGGTCTATGTTGATGACATTATCATTACAGGCAGTGATCATACCGGGATTGATCAGTTGAAAGAGCATTTATTCAATCAATTTCAGACCAAAGATCTTGGTAGACTTCGATATTTCTTGGGGATCAAAGTTGCACAGTCTAGGCGGGGCATTTCCATCTGTTAGAGGAAGTATGCACTGGATATCCTAGATGAGACTGGCATGTTAGGTTGTAAACCCATTGATACACCTATGGACCCCAATGATAAGTTATTACCAGGACAGGGGGAGCCACTGCCAGATCCCAGTCGCTACCGCCGACTAGTTGGAAAATTGAATTATCTTACTGTGACAAGGCCAGATATCTCCTTCGCAGTCAGTGTTGCAAGTCAATTTCTTGATTCTCCCTGTGACTCCCATTGGGATGCAGTTATTAGAATTCTCCGATATATTAAAAAGGCGCCAGGAAGAGGTTTATTATATACAAATAAAGGGAGTTCAGAGATCTCTAGTTATTCAGATGCTGACTGGGCAGGTTCTCCTTCAGATAGACGATCCACCTCAGGGTATTGTGTTCTCTTCGGAGGAAATTTGATCTCTTGGAAGAGTAAGAAGCAAACTGTGGTCGCCAGATCCAATGTGTAACACCCCAAATGTAAATACATATAGGGTGCACCTTCATCATGCATTCAACGCGCGAAAGTCTAAATTTAAACTTTACGAATGCAAATATCAGAGTGCGGAATGGAAACACATAACCATACTTATTCCATATAAAATTAAAAGCGTTAAAACGTCAATACAAAATAAATAACACTAAACATTATTTAATGTAATCCCAAAAAGATTAACTAATCATAAATAAAAACATAATTTATGCCGCATCATAAGCCCAGTCATAATGTGGTTGTGGTTCCTCTAGCCATTGTGTACTTAGTGCCTCATCGAAATCATAATGTGGAAAAGCTTCTATTAATAATTTCATAGCCTCAGTCCATAGGCCTCTATCTGTTAGATCCTTTAGTTTCTCTTCGCAGGTAGGTGGAGTTTCTCCTTCTTTACGTACCAGTCTCTTACCCTTTCTTTCCCACATAACTTTCTTATTACTTTCTTTCATCTTTTCCTGAAATGGGTGGTCAAGGGGGGTGAGATTTTGGGGAAAATCTCAGTAAGGTTCACAGCTGGAGCATTCTCTAACTATGACGCTTACTCCTGCAACAGTTTATAATAACAATACAAAATGGAACATTTAACATCATCATATAAAAATATCATGCCATCATCATCATCATCATATTCCTGCCGGCTTTTACGGACTTACGGAGATACCCAGAGTCCTCGTCAGGTTGCAACTGGAGTATCAGTGCACAGGCCAACATTTAATAGCATGGTTTTAAGTTTCAAAAATATCATAATCACATAATGTAAAGCACTATAAACATATTGCAGTCAAACCATAACTTATCATAGTTTCATAATCGTGGCATACATAGAGAGATTACTTCAACAACTGTAAACACTTACAGTACTTGTCGTTCTTTACTTGTATACTTTCAACTTTTGATCTCTTTACTTGCCTGTTTGCTCCCTTGACTCCCTAACATCATCATATCATCTTTTAGTAACTTATATAACATTCAACATTTGTGTTTTATCCATGTATAGGTCTCGGCTTTGCAGGTTTAATCACCTAGAGGAGTTGTTTTGCTTACTTACCCACTTGTTTAGGTTTTAGGACATTACTAGGTCATCATAACACTTAATAGAATTATTAAAGATTTCATTCTAGGCATGTATAGGTTCGGCCAGCATAGATAAACATCTAGGAATATAATTTTTAAAACATGCTTTCAATTATATTATTAACTTAACATGGTTAGATCCTTTCAACATTAATCAAATAAAACCTCTTTTAGCTACATACCATTCGACCTTATTGCCCTAAAATACCTAAGGGATTACTTCTAAAACATGCTTCTAACATTACTGATAATTTATCATATTTAAATCCTAGAGCATCATTCAAAACATCATCTTATATATTCGGCCAACTAAGGTTATGATCATGCAAAATTGATTTAGAACCTAGGCTACTAAACATGCTAATCTAACATCATCATTTCATCATCTTTCATATCATTTAAACATCTCTTCATGTTTATAATTATCATACATGGTTCGGCCTTCTAGGGATCATATACTTAGGATATCACTTTCATGCTTTTACATGTCATTCCTAACCAAGAAGGTTCATAGGTTTACCTTTGATGATGATCAACGACTTAAGGAAACACTTCTTGACCTTTGACTACTTTGAATCTTCTTGAATGAACTTCCTTCCTCCTTGAACATACAAGGCCGCAAGCTTAAAGAGAGGAGAAGAGGGATTTTCTTGCTTAGAGATGAAGGGTTCTTTGGTGGAATTATTAGGAAGAAGGACTAAGATCCAGGCTTGTATTTGATCTTGGAACAATTAGGTATTTCTCACTAACACACTCACCATTTCGAAGCATTCATGGACTTCACAAAATGAACTAATCTCTTTGTTCTTTCCTTTGGTAGTGCCGCGGCTATAGAGGGAAAAAGGAGAGACTAAAGCTTGTTCAAATAGGCAACCTAGAAGCCTTGCCATTACTTGATTGCTGGTAGGTTTCGATCACATTAAATGAGAGTAAGGTGGTGATTTGTTGTCATAGGTTAGATTGCTTAATTTAGGGACAAGAACATGATGTCAATTTCCTTGATTAAGGAAATTTAGTGATTGCTTGATTTAAGGAATTGATGATGTGTGACTAATCGTCATAAAGGTTGCTTCCTTGATTTAAGAAACAGAATTATTTGATTGATTGACATATTGTCATCAATTTGCTTGATTTAGGGAAAGTGATTGACTACTAATCATCATAATCCTAACTTCCTTGTTTAAAGGAATTTGACTGGCTTGACTTAAGGAAATTCGATTTGCATTTAATGGCTTGAAAATCAAATAAAATCAAATTCATTTCCTACACCTAGGCCGCGGATTTTAAATGCTTGGAAGGAAAAGATTTCCTTTAATTTTGGACCATGATTTATTCCTTAAGATTATGGACCTTTAACCTATTAACCTGACCTAATTTGTGCCTATTTTTCCATGATTTTATGACACTTTAAATTAAATTCTTAGAGCTTGTTTTCTCTAGTAAAACCGTGGGCTTCTTGCTTGTAGGGAAAGAATTATAATTTAATTCCTAGTCATATAGTACTTCTTTAGGTTTATTATGTCATGGCCTTACTTTGGGCTTTAACTTGATTTGGGTTTCATTTACCTTATTGGACTTTACTTTATCATATAGAGCTTTCTTTGTATCACTTGGACTTGTCCACATTAAATGGAATTAAAACTTCCTTTGTTGGGTTATACTTTGATCAATGAATTCATTGGATCCCTAATGCTTATGTCTTTGGTCCATTGGACCCATACTTCTAATTTACTTAATCATAAACTATTTCATCTGAAATGTCTCGTTTATTAATTATCATAATTCTTCATTAATCATGATACAATATTTAGGGTTGTTATACAATACGGAGGCATAATATCGGGCAATGGCAAATGCAACCTGTGAGCTCATCTGGCTGAGACAATTGCTGAAGGAACTCCATCTCTGTGAACAAAAGCCTATGAAGCTCATTTGTGACAACCAAGCCGCTTTGCATATTTCCTCTAACCCAGTCTTTCATGAGAGAACCAAGCATATAGAAATTGACTGTCATTTTGTTAGAGAAAAGATCCAGTCAAGGGAGATCGAGACAGCATTTGTCAATTCCAATGATCAACTTGCGGATGTATTCACTAAAGCTCTAAGAGGTCCCCGAATAGATCATATTTGTAACAAGCTGTGAGCTTTTGATATATATGCACCAGCTTGAGGGGGAGTGTTAGAAATAATATTAATTTATTATTATTAGAATAGTCTAGATTGTGGGCTTGGCCCATTAGGTCATCCCATTAGGTCTTTTAGTCTCTATAAATAGAGAGCCTCCTTGTACAGACTTACACACTTGAATATACAATATATTTCAGATTCAATTGTCTTTACCATGAGCAATGAGCAACCTCGAGTGAGATGCAAGTGATACACTCAACGACATCGTTTTTTGTCCAAGGTGGATTGTGACATTGTGACTCAGCAACTTAACATTACACGTGAGATTCGTTAATAACGACATTGGAGCCCCACTAACAGAAGGACTTACGTGAGCCTAATTTGAAAAAAGCAGGCACCACAAATGCCTTTTTTTTTCATGGGGACTAAATAGGGTATCGTGAAATTTGCTAAGGATCAAAAAAGGTATTTACTGTATCTCTTAACACGCTCCCTCATGCTAGAATCTTTTGGGTTTTGAAGTTGGATAATGCACATATCCCTTTTTGGTTTACCTTATGCCAAAACTTAACTTTTTTGTTATAGTATTGGGGCAACAAGGATCAAACTCTAGATCATTTGAAAATAGGCTCTGATACCATGTCAATTTTTGGTAGAGTTTGTTGTAAATTTAGAGAGCTATAATACGCCTCTTCCCACAACATTAGGACCTTTTGCTTAATTATTATTTTTTTGAGTTATTTTGTGTTTTGTTACTTTGTATTCTACATCACACACACTGATATGCTCGCTATACTCACTGTTATTATTCTAAAACTTAATTAATTATGAGAGTGGATGTGTGAGGATTGAATTTAAAGCCAATTTAATAAAAGCATTGATATGGATGCAATAAATCATTCAACTTAGTTACTCAAATGCTGAAGTATTTAGCAGATGTTGGAAAATATCTTTAATTTAGGAAAATAATTCCTATATCTTCTATTTAGGGACTATCTTTAATTTAGGAAAAAAAGTTCGTATATCTTCTATTTAGGGAATGGTTATTCTGTAAATAAATAGAATTTGATTTGCATTATTTTCAATAATTTGCTAGTTTCCTTATCTTAGATATTGCAAATTTTTTAGTATTAGAGACTGCAAATTCCTAATTTCCTATTATTAGATATTGTAAATCATGCATAAATAGATGGTACTACCGAGGATTTCCTTACAAATCCCTTTGTACTGCTGAAAGTCTAGCAATGTTTCTTAATGCAATTACGAGTATTAAATATCATTTATTATTATATTGTTTTTACTTTTTTTCAACATTATTTTCTTTGAATTTTTATATCTTAAAGCATGCAAAATTTGTTGCCTTGTAGGCATACAACATCTCTTGCCTTGTATACAAGGAAAATGCTTTTGGCCCTGAGGCATGGCAATGGATCTAGTATGTGCTTCCTCTATGGACGTCATAATTCAATGGTTAGTTATTGCACATTTTTTTGTCCAATTTATAGTTTTTTATGCACTAGTGATTTGTGCTTTAACAATTATGAGACTAATGGACATTGGTTGGTTGCGTCCTTTTCCCCCCCTGAATTTCTGTAAGTTCTTTTTTTTATTTTTCTCTTGCAAACTTTTTTCAGTTATGACAACATAAAGATAGAGAAATTAGGCTAGTCTTGCTACAAATGTAATTGTTTAGAACTTTTGAAATAGTAGTCTTACATTATAATATTAGGACTTGAAAAGAAAGGAAGGGTAAAGAAAACAGATTGAACATGAGCAAAAGGAATCTTAAATGAATGAGAATCCTTTGAATTGGAGTCTTTTTTGGGTCTCCTTGACTCTTCCTTAGTTTGCTAGTCTGGATAAAAGGATTTTGTCTCTTGATCATTTAGGATAGCATTTATGCAAATCTTTTATTCAATTGCTAACTTATTCATTCAAAAGAGTAACATCTATTTTGATAAACTTTGTCAGAGAAAATATAAACCATTAAAAAGCCCTCACCCATCAGCTTAAGATTTTGGGTTGAATTGATTTTTTACAAACTTCTTTGGAGGTCCCAACTTTTTGGGTAAACTATTTGCATTCTGCATAGTGATAATGCAAAAGAATATTTTTCTACCCCATTTAGTTATTTTATGTAGTTTCATGCAATGATTCATCATTCCACTTCTCCTCACTCATCTCAACATAATAACATTGCCAAAAGATAACAACTTCATGTCATTGTGTTTAACCTATAGGGTTTAGGTTGAGAAGGAGGAAAAAAGAGATATGAATATTATTCTCTTATGTATATTGTTGTTTATTGAAAAAGGTTTTCAGTATATTGATTTGAATAATTACATGAGGAATGAGGAGTATTTATACAAGGAAAAATAGCTAAGCATGACTAAGCTATGATTCACCAAACCTAATCACAATCATAAGAATGACTCAGCTATGACTCACTAAACGTAATCACAATTAATTCTAATCAATTACAATTAATCCTAATTAATAGGAAATAAAAAAACAATCAATCCTAATTAATCTTAATTATTCCTAATTAATAGGAAATAAAAACGGAAAAATATTTGAATTTGAATTCTGATTTTCTACATTGTTATATGATATGATGTGATATAAAATACAAAGCCTAAGCTTAAGATGTTTGATATAGGTCACATTAATGGTTTTATATTATATTTTTTTAACATGTCCCCTCACACAAGAGTCTATTGTATTTGAAGGGTGGACAATTCACAAACTACCTACTTGTGTTAAGAAATTCCTCAAACTTGTAATCATTTGGTCACAGAGGCTCTGATATAATGTAAATGGCCAATTTAACCCAAAAGGTTAAGTTGTTAAGTAAATGTCACATTAATAATTTTATGTTATATCTCTCTAACATAAGCTTAAGCTGAGCTTATATATATATATATATATATATAAGGATTTTGTGGCTCTTGCAGTTACAGAAAACTTTGTCAGCAGTCAACATTACTTGTGGGGATTTAGGAGTGAATAAAGTGTGCGACTCTGACTTGGTGTGAAGAAAAGAGCTTAGGTGTCATTTATGTCCACTAGGTGCATTATGGGTGTGGGTATGATATATATATATATATATATATTGTTGGATAGGAATGGATGTAATATTATAACATTAATATTTTCTCATTTTCTCTGTACCACTTTTCTTAAATAAATTTGTTTATACTTGTCCATGAGATTAACTCAAAGTATATGGATTTATTCACAGCATGTACATAATCATATCATATTAAATTTAAATCTTTTATGACCTTTGTTTTATTAGAGGGTTAATATCTTTTTACAGACTTATCTCTGTTATGTATTTTTGACTTAGACTAGTTGTGATTTTAAAGGTATTCAGAGTTATTTTATATTTATACATTTTCTAAATAAAACTTTGTTATTGGTAGAATCTTAGGTTTGGTGTTATGACATACAATCTCGTGCTTTACAGGTATCCTAGGTAGGATCTATGAGTTTGATAACCGAGAGTGGTACCTTTATTGACTGGCTCTGTCAGTAGGTAATCAATGAACATTTTAAAAGAAAACTCTGGTCTCAGAACCGTGTACATTGATGTCAGAATGCTATTTTCTATTCAATTGATAAAGAATGCATAAGCATGGGATTTCAATTATACTATTTTTTTGTTAGGTGAAAATATTTTCTTTGAGGTTGCTTCTGTAATACTAATGATATTAATAGAGACGATTATTAGTATGAGCCCTTAATTTCCTTTTCTTTTAAGTTCAAGATTTCATTGATGGAACCTAAAAGTATTGTTCCTTTATGATGTAACCTTTTCTGGGTGTACTGCATGTGAATTTTGACACGTAGGCACTCACAAGTATTGGATTCTTATTACTTCAGAATTCATACCATTTCTTCCCCATTGCTTTTGTAAAACTTTTAGTAACTTAGTGGTTCATAGTTCATACTATGTTTAATTAAATGGGGATAATAAAATCAACTTAAATGTTATGATGTGTGGATTATTATATTGAACTGTTTGTTTCAATTTTTTTGTCAGCGTGTAGAAATGGAGCACTGTGATCCGCAAGTACACAGAAGGGATATGAAAAATAAAGGAAGAAATGTTGTGTGGTCAATTGCAATGGATAAATGCCTAATTGAAGCTCTGGTTGTTCAAGCAAAAAATGGAAACAGAATTGACAAATGTTTCAGTGAAAATGCATATGTTGCTGTCTGTGTAGCTGTAAACACTCGTTTCAACTTAAATTTGAATAATCAGAAAATTATCAACCGTCTGAAGACACTTAAGAAGAGGTATAAAGTAATAAAAGATGTGCTAAGTCAAGATGGTTTCTGGTGGAATCCAAATACAAAGATGATCGAGTGTGATCGTGATGAGCTTTGGAAGAGATATGTTTCAGTGAGTCTATCTTTAATCTTTCCCAGTTTATGAATGTTATGCATTAATTCAAAATACCTATTCTAGTGTTCTCTAATTCGTTGGATAGACACACCCTGATGCAAAAGGATTTCGCGAAAAGCAGATAGATATGTATGATCAGCTTAAAGTTGTTTGTGGGAATGATCAAGCTCCTGGTCGTTGGGCTAAGATGAAGGGTGATAAAAATCAAGTGGACATGAAGAACTGTGAAGATGAATCAGCCTCATTTGCATCTCCCAGTTCAGAAAACATGAGTGAGACAGATGGAACTGAGTCTTACAGTGTGCCTCCAGAGTATGGTCAGATACCGGAGCCTCCTGCGGTTCAACCTCTGAGACAACTTCCCAAACGTCCTTGCAGTTCAGATGCTCTTCAGGATGCATTGATGACGGTGGCATCAAGCATACAACGATTGGCTGATTCAATGGAGCACAGCAAATGCACAATTGATGCTGCAGAGCTATTTCAGGCTGTGATGGAGATAGATGGGTTGGAAGAGGGAAAACAGATGTATGCATTTGAATATTTAAATGCTGATCCTGTCAAAGCCAGAGCTTTCCTGACTTACAATTCTAGGATGAGAAAGATATACTTGTTTAAACAGTTCTGGTGGTGGAGGGGAGGGTGAACAGTGTATTGAACATTTTGGTGTATAGAATATGGGCTTTACTTCTCTCATATAGTAGGAGAAAAGTTGGGCCCACCAATTTTAAAAAAAAGAAAAGAAAAAAGAAACACATCTTTTTATGTGAGTGTAACATAAGAGATGAATCTCATACAACATGAGAATATAATTTCACATAGAATATAGGGATTCTGCTGAATGGATGTTCTCATTTATTAATATGTTTTAAGGTGAATGAGGGTGAACCTTAGAGCAGCGGTAAGATAGCTACTTGGGATCTGAAGGTCGCGGGTTCGAGTATGGAAAACAACCTCTTTATCAAAATGCAAGGATAAGGCTGTGTACTATTGACTCTTGCTCCTATCCTCGCAAATCGGGGAGTCTTGTGCATTGAGATTTTCCCTTTGTGTTTTAAGGTGAATGTATAGTTTCTACACATTGATAGGGAATAGTCATTTGACAGGGTTGGAATTATGTCCCAGTCTATTCCAAGTAAATTCCTTAAATTTTATTTTTAACTAAAGTCATTATTTTTCACTTTTCACTGCTGTTTGGAGCAGCTTGGTGAAGTTCTCTTTCCACCTTGCCTATTACCCCACCCAATTGTCCTTTATCCCATCGTCAAGGTTATGTAGGGAACTTAATTTGATCTTTATAAGGGCTTTGAGAAGGAGAAGGAGACGGGGTGGGGACTGAATTGTTCATAATTTATATCTGGGCAAGCTCTTCACTTAGGTCAATTTTCAAGTTACCCTCACTTACAATTTTAGTAGTATCTTTGGTATATGGTTCTTCTTCACTTCCTTCAAACAGCCAAGATACTAATTCCTCCAGTTTTCCATCATTTACCATTAAAGCCAATGTTGCTCTCTCAGAAGAGAACCTCATTGCCACTACCTGTTGTGCAAGTGCTTCTAGCTTTCTCAACATTATATACCCATTGCACCGGTCATGCAACTCCTGAGCTCTCTTTTCCCCTGCCTCTGGTGCTTCCTCTCATTCTTAAGCTGAATCTTCTCCCTTCTGTCATTATCACAACCGGGAAGAACATCAAGCCGCAAAGAAGAGTTTGTTAATTTCTCTTTAGGGTCTTCTGATTCACCAGAGCAGCTGCTATTATTAGAAACTGAATCATACTCAGACACAGTTCCTTGAGGACTACTAGAATTCTCATCTGTATCATCTATTTTTGGGAAATGGCTGTTGTCATGAATTGGAGCATAAGAAGCAACCAATGATGTTTCTAGAGCTTGAAATGTTCCCAAGATGGGATTGTATGCACTAGCAGGAATGCCACTCCCATGATTAGTAGACCCAGAAGTCTTTGGAGAAGTTTTCTGTTGTTCCTTACCAGCTCCTGCAGAGACCTTCTCCTTGGACTTGGATTTTGATTTCATTGATGGAGACATTCTATTAGTTTCTATATTTGTCCCGCACATATAAATACAACAATAAAGTAGGATCAGTCTCCATTTTATATGTACTAAAACACTACACGTATAACAGAAATTTCACATTAACTCAGTAGCAGAATATTACAACCAGGATCATGGTCATTGTTGTCTGATGCTAAAATGACCTTAAATGTGTTAATTATCCATGCATAGAATAGAAAAGTTCATATATAAATGACCTAGATAACATACAGTTACATTTTTGCTTTCCCATTTCGTAGCAACAAACTAACATATGTATCTAACACTGGATAGTATTAAAATTTAATCAAGTCTTATACAATCAGGTCTTATACTATCAGGTTTTATCCAATACTATGCACCAAACATGCCCTAAGTTGCTACAGTTCCTATGTTAGGTATGTATCCAAAAACTTTACCACTATAAGATTCATTTCAATTATAGCCCCACTGCAATTGCTATCCTAATTTAACACAGATGTTGTGTCTATCATTGGTTGCAAAAACTTAAAAGTCAAAATTTTCCTAACTTAGATTTTAAATGGAAAAGGGTAAAGGTGCAATGCACTTAATCTCCAAACTAAATAAATGAATGAACGATTGAAAAATTAACTGCCCTGGCCACCATATACAACGCTTGAATGGACGTCATACACCAGAACTTCCTATGGACAATCACCTTTATGAGAAAATAAAAAATAATCATTTTACTCTTGATAATTGAGATATAATAAAATTAAAATGAATATATAACTAAGAAAACTGAAGAACCTTTGGGAACCAAAAGCATAGGAATTTGACACCAGGACAAAAGAAAAATATATGGGATCACTAGTCAAAACTAATCCACAGATAAGGCATTACTAACAAGAATCCCCAAAATTAAGGTCAGAATCCATTTCTATTTGTCCTCTACTTTAGAAAATGGAACCTCAACAACAGAAAATAAATCAATAATTAAATAAAAACATGTCCTTATGGGAATGGTGTAATCGACAAAAGAAAAACAAAGAAATTTTGAATACAAGCTTTTCAAACATTTAAAAACCTACAACAATTTTCAAAATGTGGTGGGCACATCCATCTTCTTGTTTCCACCCCACAAAAAAAAAAAAATCATCTCAGAGGAAATGTTCAAAATCCACCAATATAACATCTTGAAAATCCAAACTTTATCCCCAACCCATCACACTAAACCTCCAAAAAAAAAAAATTCAGATCAAAGACTAAAAACCAGAACAGAGGAAAACCAAAAATAATATCCCTTTAAAAATTAAATTCCCAGAACACAGAGCAACCCACATCTATTTACGCTTCAACAGAATGAATAGATCAAAGAAACTGACCTATGAATCACAACAGAGCCTGTGAAGATGATTGGTGATTATGTGCTAGTCTGTTTCTCCTTATTGTTCTTTCTCTTCCTTTTTCTGCCTGTGATATTGCTGCATATTATAATAATATAAAGTAGTTACCCTTTTCTGGTAACAAAGTAAAGTTTCCTTCTTTTTCTTTTTGTTTTATCCACATGGCACCTTCTCGTTTCTTTGTGGCTTCGAGAAAAATAATTAAAAAAAATATGATTGAGTACGATGTTTGAGATCCGATTTTTTTTCTTGTCAAAAGAAAAAAAAAAAAAAAAAAAGTAAAGTTTTCTCTTTCATTAGAAAAAACAGGGAAAAAAAACATGTTTTTTAAATGTTTTGGATCCCATGAACATGACTTACGTCTAACTTCATGAAATATTTAAAAATTTGTTTTCATTATTTTATTTTTCCAACGACACCCTTACCTTCAACTATTTTCGTGTCGGCTTTCAACAAGGGAAGTATACAGAATATATATTTGTAAAGATCTTTTTTTCTTTCCTGGATAATATCATGCATGTTCTTTTTGAGACAAGACATTCATGTAATGATCTGGGCTTTGCTTTTGGAAAATAATTTTGCAATTTGCACAAATAATATTTTTGTATTTGTTTAGAAAAATATTTATAATTAAACTTTTTTATAAATTATTATATAAATCTTTGATCGTGTATATTCTTTAATAATATAAATGAGTTCATTTTTTTTTTGTAAGCAAATGAGTTCAGCTTAACATGCACACGCGCGCGTATATATATATATATATATATATATATATATATATATATATATATATATATATATATATATATGGATATAAACTTATATCCTTTTAGATCCTAGCTGTTGATTTTCGTCCATCAACGGTTATAATTTATTGGATTAAAATTATTAATTAATTAATAATAAATTTGGCCCATTAAGTTTGGCTCAATAGATTATAACAGTTGATGGACGAAAATCAACGGTTAGGATCTAAAAGGATATAAACTTATATCCTTTAAAAAGGATAGATATTTTTCTCACATATATATATATATATATATATACACGAATGAGTAGTTTGTGATAATAAATTGTATAAAACTCATATCATTTTACTTTATTGTTAATGTGATAATAAATTGTATAAAACTCGTACCATTTTACTTTATTGTTAATGTTAATCTAAATAGTTGCTAGGGGTAAAAGTTGTTTGTCTAACACTTATATTTTGCCTTGAGATTGGGCTAAATATGATTCAGATTACAGGTAAAAAGTGGCCCAAAGTCTAAGAAAACAGCCAACTATCATAAAATGGTAAAAAAAAAATGATAATATGGTAATTTACTTTATATTTTACTACTTGCTTGCAGATATTAAAAAGGGCGGTGCCGGTGACAGCTACTGAAATGAAAAGGATGTGGACCGTTAGATGAAGAAAAAGAAAAGAAAAGGCAGTAGTGATCTACGGCTTGGATTTAGTTTTGACTTTTGAGTGCTTAGCTAGAAACTTAAGCTTCTTAGTTTTAGAAAATTTTCTTAAGTTTGAAGCATTTCAATAGTGTTTAGAAGTTTTTTTCTATTACGAATTTCCTAGTTTGTTAGTTGCAAGTTTTCTTTGTAAGCAAGCGAGTGAAGAAGCCATTCTTGGAAGATAAACCAAGATATTTCAGCATTTTCGATTTTGAATCTGAAGATTTCAACTTTATCTTGTTAAGCACTTTCTTTTCTAGCACATTAAATTTCAAAGAACCACTCTGTAGTCTAATACTCTTTACCTTCGAAGTAGGTTTTAATGCATGTTAAATTCAGTTTCAGATTTTATTTTTCAATTACCGATATCATGAGTTTCTAAAATTTCTAGCTAGGATGTTAAATGATTGGAAAGTACCCTTTATTTTAGAAGACTGTTATGCATGATTCTGCATTTCGTTTAACAAAATTTTTAGTTTCAAGAAGCCATGAGAATGGATCTTGAACCATCTTTTTCATGATTCTATAATTGGGAAATTAATGGTTGTGAAATTTTGTTAATTGAAAGCTTGAAAGGTTAGGGATAACCTGAAGTGGAAATTGATCATTAGTCAATTAAAGATCTACTTTAAATATATTGGGAAAGGATTTGATTAGGTTTAAAATCTTAATTGGGAAAATTAAGAAAAGTGCTTCGTTAGTTCATTTTCTTCAAGATTAGTGTTGTAGCATGTCATAAGCAGAGATGCAAATTATTAAGGGAAAA